GCTTAAGTCTTTCTATAAGACAGATCATCGTGAAGGTGCTGAGAAAAACCTGGGATCAGCCATGTTGCCTGCTGCAACAAAACATCTTAAAGGTAATAAATCTTTTTTTAAATAATTTTTCTTTTTAGTTTTGTTTTTTCAAATCTGACTGCAAAAGTGGAAATACACTTAAAGTCAATGAAGTATAAATGTACTAGGCAATAAGATTTATATATAACAGTTGCAAATAAAATGGCCAAAAATATTACCAAATTGACTGTTTTAAATGGTTCTTGACAGAAAATCTGTGATTCCAAATTTGTAGATCTGCACAGCATGTAGTGAAGGCCATGGTTCTACAAACAGCAGAAGAGCATGGAGCTGTGTAAGAATGTATGCACTATTGTACTGCCCAGACTGCCCTCAGCCTAGTAACACGACGTTAGTGTTGGACTAACCAATCAAATGTTAACTAATTTGTAGAGAAAAAGCAGTGATTGCTAAGTAATGCCTGCATATTTTACTTGCACGGTTTTAATTCATAGATCCTATTATCTAGTATCATTCTGCCATAAAGAATCCCAAATGGGAAATACTTAAAGGCAGTGAGACGTTCCCACACTTCTTCAGATTCCCACTTTAAAGTGAGAAGATTTCTCCTGTCTCGCTTTTCTCACATTGGTGCAATTTCTTCTATTATGTCTGGAAACGGCTTCACATCTGCCCTCCACCTGTTTTAGGGTTTATTTTAAAAATGTTCTCACTTTGCAAGGCACACTAATAAAACATATAAGCCTAGTGTTTCTGGGCTGCTTTCTCAGACACCTCGGAAGGCCATGTTTAATCACAGGCCGCCAGTAATTACATTTATTGCGTAAGTATAAACTGTGTGAGAGCTTTGCCAGGAAGGTGACAATAAGGCAAATGCTAATTAACATTCCGATAATAAAGATAAACGGTAAAAAGGGTTTTTTCAAATCTTTTTAATGTTGCTTTGGTTCGAGAGATGAAATTATTCAACAGCACAAAACAACAAGGAATGCACCAAAACAAGACAAATTCCCTCAACCTGACTGATCTTCACAAAGCTCCCTGTCTGTGTTTTGCACCATTCCTTGTTTTCTGTTGGCAGGAGGCTGAAGATAACTTGGATAGCTAGGCTGAATAATCTTTATAAAAGCGTTAGCAAGTCTGCTTTAAAAAAAAAAAATCACTCTTAGTACCTGTGTTGGCAGGCTTTCGATAGCTTCAATTGGGTCAATAGGAGTGCAAAACCCATTTCAAGCAGGTCAAACACACCTGCCAATCAGTTCTCATTGATCTCAGAAGTGTCTTCAGCTGATGTCAAACTGCTGCCATTAACACAAGCCCAAAGCCTGTCGACACAGGCCCCCATGTGGGAATCTAATGTGTCTTTGGATCCCTGATGCATCCTGTTGTAAGTCATGCAACAAATATGGGCATTTTGTTCAAAAGATTGGACCAAACAACAATAAGTCCTACGATGCAGAGGTTTTCCAATTTGTTACCAATGAAAAGGGAACAAGCTTTCTTCTGCATGTGTAATGCATTTTTTGCAGAGTGGGGGGTGGAGGATTTAGATTGGGTTTGCACCTTTCTATGTGCATTGTTATTAATTTTTATGCATGTTTTAAAGTGGATTTTTATGTATGTGGATATTTTAATGTGCATTTTCATGCTATCTGCACTACTTTATTGGGTTCTGCCAGTCAATGAAATGTTAAGTGAAGTTGAGGTTGCTATGGGAGGGGCTATTTACTGCTGTGAACGCCCTAAAGCACATGTTACATGCAATTTAATGTGATGTCACTGAAATCAATGGGGCCTTAAATGAATGATGCCACAATGAATACAAAAAACACACCTGCACTATGGCATGGCAATGCACAAGAGTGAACTAGCACAAATAAAAACAATGTGAACATTCATTGATACGTGTTGCAACACACATGTTAAATTGCAAAGGTGTGAACAAGGTCTTAAAGTAAACCTGTGCTTTGGGTAAAGCAAGTTGTGCAGTTGACATGCCAGAGCAAAGAGAAAAAGTCCCCTGTAAGCTCTATTTCAGTCTGCTTGAAGCTCACACAGGTCAAAAGAATCTGTCCAACCTCCCACATGACAACACGCTGGCCTGGGGATTGTCTCCTCATGTTTCTGCATTGTAGAAGGAAGGGGAGAGAGTCACATGCACCACCATGCTCAGAATTACTGGGTATGTCACTGGAGAGGGTGAAGGAAGCAACTGAGGAGACAGAGGAAGGTGAACAAAAAAACAGTGGGCAGACAAAAAATGTAATCAACCTGTTTCTTTGGCCCACATGGGCAAAGAACCGATGTACTTTAAGAGTAATTATAATTTAAAAGTCTAGAAGTGCTTCTTTCAGGATGTGCAGTGCTGGGCAGAATTTTGTTCAGAAATGGAGGCAGCCATCTGTGCTGTATTGCTCATATGGGGTGGCCAACCAATTCAAATGAATGGAAAGAATGTCTACCTAAGTAAATGGTCCTTCACTCAATTCAATAAGCTGGGCACTTCCTACACAAATCAAGAGAGGACACCTAGATCTCTCACCATATAGAAATCTATCTATAATCACACTTATTGTGTTCATATAAACCTCTGTATAACCTAATTAACACCATTGCATGGGTCAGATGCTTTTACGGAAATATTTAAATGCACAACAGACTGATCTGCAAAGTGCTTCCCGGGTGGAACAGTGTCCATAGATTAAACCAACAATATAAGAAGCTGCTGGTACCTACTTTTTTGCCTTGTCTGCAGCACAGTCACACGCATGCATATACCATGGTTAATTTCTATTACTGTCATAGTACCACTGAAACATTTAGAGCTAATCAGGTTAAAAAAAATAAACACATTAATACCCATTTTCATTTCTATAGACACAACTTGACTCGCAATAAGCCTCAGCACTGCCTAAATGATGTGCTACCTGTTTGCTGGGTGGGGGTGGGGGGGGGGGG